AATATAGAAATAAATGAAAAGGAGTACAAACTTATAAACATTTTATTTTAAAATGTTAAACATCTATATGTATTTTTATTTGTATTAAACTAAATTAAAAAAATTCAAAAAGTTTGTTAAAAATGAGGCCAAAATTACTTTTTATTAAACATAAATGTAACATAAAATTTTTTTTGAAATTCAAATATTTAATCTAATAATTTTTATGCGATATAAATCGTATTTAAAACATATTTATGCTGTGAAATAATGCTACCAAATAATATATACAATATTTTCGTTATCTTTTAGTTCGTATGTTCCTTATTATGTTTCAGTAGGTAGGCAAGTAAGTTAAAATTGTAAAAAATTGCATGGAATAAAATGAAAAGAATATGTCACAATAAAATTTATCGATAAATCAGATACCTATTCGCAAAACATGGCATTGTGTTTATAAGTTGCAAAGGCTTCACATTTTAGAACCCTCTTTATCAAAACATAGTCAAAATTTACAATTTTACAAAAAAAATATATTTATAAGCGTGTAGACGGGTAGCAGTGAATGTTTTGTGAAATAATTTTATTATGTTGTTGGATTATCTAGATGTGGCAACCTTCATTATTTTAAACAGTGAGTAATAATCATTTAGTTCAATATTTTGCAAGGTGTATTTTAATTGTTTGGCATGCCGCAAAATTGTACCTATTTATTTAATATTCCGAACACTTTTACGATGAAAAGCCAACACATAATTCGCAACTGAGAGAAACCAATAAATATTTCCATGAAATCGGTAGAGAAATGTACATATCATAAAAACATTTAAATAATACCTGCAATTTAACCTTAAATCGACCTTTACGTCTTAATTACTCCGGATAGAATTTTCAATTATGATTCCAATGGTATATGACGTGTCATAACTTTGATATTTTGAAGCAGAAGGATTGGAAGAACAAAAAAAACATCACCTAAAGTAATTCTTGCAATTTGAAATATTAACAACTTGATTTCATTATCCATTATGAAAATAGAATTTTAAGGATACGGCCTTTACTAAATACTCTTCCAGAAAAACAAATCAGAACTAATTACATAATTAGATAAAAACCACATTCCAATTCATAATGAAATACGGACACTTTTTCTTCTAATTGCTGCAGTTGTATGGATATCAAATAGATCTACCTGTATGTAATGTTTGCCCTGATAAAATGGTACGTGAGAGATTTCATTTCTTTGTTTAAAAATATTTACCGATATATGGGAAGTACATCAAGTGGATTAGATAATTTAATTGAAATTCTGAAGTCGGTGTTAACAAGTCAAACTGCCATCGTTACCATTGTGTTAAAGAAAAATTTGTTCCGTCTCATTTTTAGAGTATGTCAAATGTGGCGCCATCTACAGATCTTAAATTTGCATAAATATTAATTATTATTAAAGACAAGAGTTAACAGAGAAGTAATTTTTCCAAATAAACAAATTTTTTTATATACAACATTTAATATTTTTACTAATTATTAACTAAACGATATTTTTGTGTAGCAACCCAATGGCTACGTCACAATGAAATATATATTTTTTTAATGTTTCTAATAAATCACGTAAAAAATGACATGCGCTGTTGAAACTAAGTGGTAGTGACGACAAAACTTCCAAATTGCAAAGTGTTAAGTACAGTTTGGTGACATTAAATATCATAATTATGAAAATAATGGTGGAAAAAATAAATGGTTTATAAGTGTGTCTTTCTGGAAAAAAAACTGACGAGTGCTAGACATATTTGTATTGTGAGGTAAAAGATTTTTATCAGCTTCAGCATATGTTAAAATGGTAGGTAAGTATTTCAAATATAATTTTCCTCTTTTATCTGTTGCCATTGTTAAAACAAATTAACATGCATTGTCATATCATTTTTTAAGATAAAAATTTTATAAAAAAAATCACAATCAAGTCCTACAACTTCGTCAAAAAAATTTTATATTTATGCTAAATACTTTATTACGTAGATCTGCTATGTTTTGTCCAAGAATACAAGTTTTTATTTATTTTTATATTAGTACTACTTGTATCAAAAATATTAATAACTTCAACTGCACGTTTTCCCTTTGCCTTACGTATTTTTTTAAAAGGACTTCAAGGAACTAATTTCTTTCTTCGCCACCCACATTTTGACAATGTAAAACGTTTGCAGTTAAAAATTTACCTCGAAGATTTGATATTTTTCTGTGTTGTCCCCAAAATCGAAATCTAGAACTTATTAATCGGAACTTGGTTTTTATTGTAATCTAGTTAAATATGTCAGTCAACAGTTTAAAGGTTACAAGCTCATTGTTAGAGATTATCACAATATGATGAGGGTTAGGCATAAATATCTCCACGACCTAATTGTTCGAAGACGTCTAATTAGTTGCCTCTGTGGCAATAAAAATCATTAAAACAAAATTTCTAAAAGGGATGATTCACAAATTTGTGTCTTTTAGAAGCGTCTATAATTAACGTGCTATCCGCCACATTATATCATCCTCCTATACAGTATATTAAACTTATCTGTTCCTTCTTATATTTAGTGTAATTATATCCACCGTTCTTATACAAATTGCACTCTTGATATCCAGTTTTTTTCTCCCCATTGCAAGGTTATAGTTTCAACAGATGTAGTTGATGCAAAAATTTAATAAATTCAATCATTAAATTAATTTTTGCGCATTTTCTTTGATATAATTGCTTCCTATTTCCATTGATCACAATAAAAAATGTTGAGTATTGATTCGTTTCCTAATATTTTCTATCTATGATTCCAATAAGAGGTATAATTTAATTTTTATAAATAATAATTTATATTGTCTGAGTTTAATTAACTTCTGGGAATTTACCTTAGCCAAGGAAACTTACACTGACTCATTTTTGTATACGCTTGGAGTCAAAAAGTGGATTCGTTATCCATATGTTTTTGATTATGAATAAATAATTTCAAAATTTCTTTAGCATACTTAAAATTTTTATGTTGCTATTTTCAAATTTAAACAGTAACATTTGATAGATCTGAGTTTTCTATTAAAAATGGTAATGTTGTTTTATATCGAAGAAGTAATCCGTTTTCGAGGAAAATCGGTTTAAATGTTATGTTATAGGTAACATTTCCCAAACTGCTTTTCTAAGCACTTAAATCCGTTTTTCTCGAAAATGGAGCATTTTATCTGAAGAAATAAAGAGTACCATTTTTGTAGAGGAAATGAAGGTATATCATATATTGGCCTCTGAATTTGAAAATTTCGACAAGCAGAAAAATTGGAGCAAATTTTAGCTGACGACCCCCCCCCCAATTGAGACGCCCATGATTAAAATTCTAGAAAAATTTTATGATGATCTATTCCGACTTTTAATGAGCGTTCATGGTGTCAAAATTCATAATTTTTCTTCAACCCATTTCAGAAATATTAAAAAAAAAAAATTTTTTGAGGCCCCATTTAGAGGGGCGTATCTCCGTAGGAAGCATTTCTCGACCAATGTTTAAATGAATAAATATTCTTATTTTTGACAAAAGAATCAAGTGGTAAATTATTGAACACTAATTATGAGACACTGTATATATATTATTTTTTGAACTTTCTTCCAAAGACAATGGGGTACAGATTATTTATCACCAGTGATAATGCATCATATTTATGTTCTGTTATCACACAGAAATGAAAAATTTCCACATTGTTTTTAATTGAGCAAGCATATGGCAATCTGTCGCTTTAAATTTTTCCCCAGGCGGAGCAGTTTTACTAAATAAAATAAAAATAGAGCTAATGACTTCGGTCCATTTGGAAGATATGCTTCTATCTGTATGTCTTTCGACTCTAGTATGAACTTCGTAGTAAAATAGATATCATAAGTTGTAGGTATTTATTTATTGTAATAATTTATATTCTGTTAAATTGTAACGGGAAATTTGGTAACAATTTGGTAAAATTGTAGACTGATGAAACTGAATAGGGTTGGCTGCTCACGTAAATATTATCGCTTTCCTTTTATTTCGTATTCCGGAAGATAAGATAAATAAACGATGAAATTGATAAACTGTAACAATACTAAAAACAGTCTTTGAAAAACATGCATTTAATATTACATAAATATTTCTTAAAGTAATTCTAAATCAATACATATATTAAAGCACCTATTTCTAAAGCTAATGCATAGTAATAAATATTGTGACAGTTGCATTATATAATTTCCCATTATTTATTACACTAATAAGTAAAATGGAAGGACCCCTTTCTGTTGCTCTTTTTCTGACAAAATAATAAGGATTTATTTAATTTGTTATAGTCCGAAAATATTTTTATATACTTATATATGCGTTTACCAGCTTAGCTTAATTTCTTTCGACATATGCTTATTATTTATGATATTATCATTTTTTTTTTAATATCTTTAAGAACTGTTGTTCAACAGTGTACAAAAGCGCAGTTATCATAAAAACAAAATTGAAGGCTTATTTTACATGGGCATTGTTCCTTCCTACTATTTTTTTAAACACATACATAAACGTAAAAAGCAGATATGTACATATACACAAAATAGAAACACAGTTTATGGTACTATGTGATTTCAATATTTAATTATTTTACTTATGGGATTTATATTTTTCGGTGTGATAGTTTCCCAGAAATAGTCACTGACTAGTCCATTTGGTCTGTTTGTTTGTTAATTTAAATAAATAGTAAAAAAAGTCCACAAATGCACAATATTTTTAAAAACCAGTTTTCGTAAATGAGAAAGAGAATTTGGTTTTTAGTTCGTAGGATTCTTATTGTTAAATATATATTACATTTATCAAATTGATAACTACAAATATTTCAGTGATTATTCTCATTATAGCAACGTGTGAAAAATTGATACTCTCGTAAAATTTCTGCGTCACGCCACGCCACTGCTCAGACCATCGAAAACGCCAGTGGAGACGGAAATATTACTTGAACGTGCTAGACAAAGAGGCCCTCTGTCACATTTCCATTATATTGAAAGCAAGTCTTCCAATTATCTAGCTTCTGCTCGCATTTGCCGTGTGAACTGCATGTGCCTTGTGGTATCACAACCTCCCAGCACGGTTTTACTAATTTTTTGATCGATTTCTCCCGACATGTTTATTAAACTAAGTGTTATTTTCGCCGTTTTACGGTTTGCCGCCGGCCAAGACAAAATCCTGGACTGGGGTAAGTGGGAATTTTGACTTTTGTATAAGGAGGTTTTCGCGCGCCATGACTACGGTTCAAAATGTCACGTACACCGGGCTCGCCGGAATTGCCGTGAAAATTCTACAAACTGACCACATCAGCCACAAACCAACTACCATTATATAATATCGCGTCTACAATCGTGAATGAAACGTTTATCGCTGTTACATAATTTTGTCACACGCTGCGATTCGATTTTTATCTCTTCAACCTAGAAATTTATATTTTTAAATGTGTAGGTAGGAGTGCAGGTTTTTGCCAAAATTTTTTTCACCCAAATTTCTTCGTGACATTTCAATGACTCGAACGTCCATAGCTTATTTGATTTCTTGTACGTACTTCCTGCTAGTGTGTTAATTAAAATCAAGATCGATAGGCCTGGAACTATTCACACGTACCTACTTTTACATTCGCATTGCATTTACACTAAAACTAATCTGGGGCGAAGATAGAAGTTAGGAAGATGTAATGTCTGCTTCTGCATGAACTACAGACAATTCACCAAGACAAATTTCTTACCTATCTATGTGATGCAGACACTACCTCTAAATTAAGTCATAAAACATGTCTGGAAGGCATAATATTCATATCTTGTTGTATGCAGAATAAATGAAATCTAATCTCATGCCCTTGAATTTATAAAATTTTAAACAATGTTACATCTGATACATAGTTGTTTTATATATCCTACAATTAGCCTGATGTTTAAACAAATAAATAAAGGACTAAGAACAAGCATCCTTTAATTTAATAAATAGGTAGGTATATCTACTTGTCAATTAATTTAGAACTTTTTACTCTGTAATACTAATAATAGGTATAAAAAAAATACCGAATCGAGCGACCAATTACTTATTTTTCGTCAAATATACAAATTTCCAAATAAATAAGTGATAAATTATATTGTTACTTTTAATATTGGATCTTCCTATCTATTCTTTGCACTCTAATTGACACAGAAGTCAGGGGCGCCTCGACAGCTTACAAATAGGGCTCCACCCTATTTTCTAACTCTTATTTTGACATTCATTTTAAAATTTTTAGAAGCATATGACATGAAATAATTTTTTTTGTTGTGTAGACGCTGTGCTTTATCCTTTATAAACAAACCTATTTAAAAAAATTGACGCACAGGCACAGCTTCGTAGAATCAGAGAGTTTGGCTTATCATCACTTATCTATTACATCAAATTCAAGGGTAACCTAATTTTGGGCGTAATTTATTTATTTACTTGCATTATAATACTTATCTGCTGCTATCTCTTCTACGTGAGGTTATAAACAATATTCTGATGTACGTTTTAATCCGCATATGAGTAAGTTAGACTTGGAGTCGGATATTTCCAAGAAAATAATGCAATGTGAACTTATCAGTGACATAATTGAAGTAATGCGATAATTTACTATAACACGTTGTGCATTGTACTGTTGCAACGTAATCCTTCAGATAAATGACATTTGCATTACTTGTCTGCAAGAAACGTATTTTACTAACGTACAAATTATAATAAAATAAAAATAACCTACATGTTATTGAAATTTTTTAGAGCGTTCATTATTTATCTTGAGATATTGCTTTATATATTTACTGGTGCCATTTTTTCGACGAGCAATGAACTGAAAATAAAACTAATTTATGCAATGTATATTGCATGTATTATTTTAATTGTCCGCAATTACAAACAAGTATTTCATTATCTCCAATAACCTATTCTTCTTTTTTTTGGTTTTATTAGTTAATTTATTATGAATATAGTCAAATTTTTGAAATAATGTTCTGTTGAACTCTTTTCCTCGTTCCCTTTTATTTAAAGATGTGGGTAAACCAAAGTTCTTATTTAACATATACTTAGGTAATGTAATATCCTTATATTTACTGTTTGTTTTTATTCTCAAATAAGATGTTTTTAAAGTACGATTGAGAACGATTTCGAGAATATCGATGTCTCGATTGCAATTAAGACTTTGTGGATGCCTACAATGAAAAAAATATAGAAATGAGGATCGTCGAATATATCTGAATTACGGTTTATTTTTTATGTCCTGATACGTATCCTGTTGTTACTGTGTTATACTGAACTTGAAATATATTTCAATTGAAGGTTACAGCAAAAAATTATGAGCGTAATCGTCTGGGAAAATTGGGAATTAATGTCATTGTATTGATATTAGTCTGACGACAAAATTATGAATGCGTACATAATTTCCAATGCACTGTGAATTTTTTATTCTGTAAGCTAAAAAAAAAACAATGAAAAACTATTAACTACCACAATTCGAGGTATGTACCTTATTTTTTACGTAAGCTATTAAAATTCCTATCTAACCTTATCAAAATTTTTAGTCCATATTAATTTTCAATTCTTGCGTTTCGATTGACTGAGGATATAAAAAAAATTGTCTACTATGACGGTCGAATGTTGTAATAGAGGCAGTATGTGGATCGCAGGGCCATGGAATATTAAGAAATCGTTCATTGATACCTACTAATTATTTTCCATGTTCATTTGCTTAACTATGTAATTAGATTACAATTCCAAATTCAACCTTGAGGAAAGAATTCTTGGGCTCCTTCTAATTACGTGTTTAACAAGCACCACAGGTACAAATTAACATAATAAATAAAACCATCAATAAGTGATAAAAGGGAAGTGCGAAAGTTATTCTTAATAAAATGAATAATACAAAACAGAGAGCAGAAGCTGAGGATTTCAATAAGTTCATAGATCTAATTTTCTAAATAAAAGGGGCGAAATAATGAAATAATTCTAATACAATCGATTTATTTTAACCACGCCACACACAAAACAATTCATTGACACGAAACGTTGCGTTTTTAGATGTCCACGAAACTGTAATAAATATTTTGTGCTAAAAAACTTGAGGTCGATGGCACCTTTTATTACCTTTCACTTAAAAATCTATTAAATACATCATCATGTAAAGTAAAGATGATAAAAAGTTCATACCCGTGTTATCTGGTTCAAGAGTTTTGCATTAGTCGAAATGCAGGTTGAGTTATTTTTCACAATTACTATATCATTTTTTTTCAATTTTTTTATCTACATTACATTTTGAGAACCACTGTCTACGTTGAAGAGAAATATTTTTATGCAACAAATTGCAGGTTTGCCAAGTCATGTGCCAAGAAAATTTTCCAGAAAAAGGCCTCTACTTTTCAGAAAGAGACAGAAAACTGAACATATTGCAATGAAAAGCACAGTGCATCAATTTCGGAAAAATGCATTGCACTCAACTCTCATTAGTTAAAAGTTCAAACTCAAAAGTTTCTAATATTTCACATGCTCTTTTCTACAATATAATATCGCCGTATATTTCTCAGACGAGTTTGTTCAGAATAGATGATGATATAACAATAACAAGTACCGTGAATATATCTGTATCTGTATAGATAACCTTATCGACAGTTGCAAACAAATTTACGTTCACAGAAGCATTACGTTACAATGCACTACTTTTGTAAACAATAATAATGAACTATGTGATAAAAACTGACCTCTATTTTTAGACAAATAGAAAATAATCCGCGAAAGATATTTTTCTAGAAAATTATTTATATGTTTATGTGATAAATACTGTTCGTATTTACAACTTTAAACTAGTTTTTATACATTACATTCTCATGATTTTTTGTACTAGATGAGTCTGATCTAGTTGTTTTTGTCATATTTTAGTTTCTATATCTGTGTTATATTAACAATGCAGTAACAATAGTATAGTAAATAATTATAAAATGAACTAAGCAACACTCTTTTAATTTAGAATATTAAATATGAATTAAATTGAAAAACTATTGCAAAATGGGTTAGAATTGTATTATGCATTGTTATTTTTATTAAACATTTACAGCAATCAATTGATTTTATGTATATGCATTTAATTTTTAGTACTACTGCTGATGATTGATCATTCATTACATTACAATTTTTATTTTTAGATAATACTAATTTTTGCCTTGCTTATTCATCATTTTTTTTATAATGTCACACTTTTGCACCAAAAAATAAAGCAAGTAAAAAAATGATTGTCATAAAACGGCACGAAAGATACGATGATACTATACAGTTCGGCATATTCTAAATTCAAAAAACATTTTGTCCGTTCACTATTTCGGTTTTGAAGCCAATAAACTCCATTCGTAGTAGCCAGGAAATAATTTAAGCGACAATTTTTTTTTGTTTTAATTTGTAGTACCCTTGGCCAGCTCAATACTTTCAGACGAGTAGATTTTAATTTGCCACAAATCTAATCAACTTAGTCATACAAAATGACCTTTTTCGACTTTTTATTTGACCCATGTCAAACTCAATAGTTTATTGGTACACTCGCTGTTATATAGTCCACTTCCGTTAATTAGGAGAAAGTGGTAGATTGTAGTTTCCCTAAATATTATTATTATTTTTTTTTTTTGAAGAGCGGCACCCTTTTGGTTAAGTACCTACTTTTAATTAACAAAAAAGCTATCAAATTCTCTGCGTTTTTAGTAATATGTTACTGTCATGTGGATGCATGGTTTGTATTTCGTCTGTAGCCATGGATTCCAATATTATTTTCTAAATAAGATTGCAAAAACATTTACATTGATTTATGGACGAAAGAAAGTTCTTTTACTGATATCATTTTGGCACTGTGACACATATTTCATTTCTTGTTTATCTATTTTTATAGATGGACGAGATATTATTACGTAGATATTATTTTATCAATACTAATCTGTAATCTACTAAATATTATGCCGGTGAACTTCGATACTTCTGATGTTGATATGATTATATAAATAAGGCAGAAAGCGAAAAAAAAAATGAACATTCATGGGAAAATAACAGGAAAAGAACAGAATAATATAAAAATAAACTAAGAATTAGCTATCAGTGATCTTCTTCTAAAAGTAATAATAGGTTAAATATTTTCACATTTATTATTTACTTCTAATTGTGCCCGATGTCCTGTTTTAGTTG